ATAACATAATAACACACAATAACACATGAATAACACGAGGAAAAATATTTTCCGTGTTATCGTGCCGTTTTTTCTCTGTCGGGAGCATTCTCCTTGTTATTCTGGTATTATTGTGTGTTATTTGTGTTATTGTGTCCTTAGAATATTCTTGCTATTATAATAACACAATAACACATCAGTAACACAGGAATAACATGCAATAACACATGAATAATACGGGAGGGAATATTTCCCCGTGTTATTGTGTGTTACCGTGTCGTTTTTTTTTCTTGCCTCGTGGGGGTCGTGGCATGATTTCATTGGCTACGTGCGTAGTACTGATGTAATATTTTTTCCTAATTCAAAGGTAGTCTTAGCGAATTTAGTTTATGTATTTCTCAACTATTATATATGATTAGTATCCGGCACGACATCGATTTTGAACCTCACTTTTCTATATGAATTTCAAAGTTTAGATCTCTTTCATATGAAAAATGAGTTTTGTATTTATGTCATTTAATTTTAAAAGGTTGTAGTTCTTAAATTGCATAATGACTTATATTTGGTTTCTTGAATATTTTTAAAATATATTATTTTCCTCTATTGTTAAAAATCATATTATTTGGTTTTTTGAAAAATGCAATTCTAGAAAAATATGAGTTATTGTGGGCTTGAGAATTTATGTATGCCTTTATGATTCATAATGCAATTCTTATGTGTTTACATATCTCACCTCTAAAATTTCATATTTATGCATAATACTCAAATCCTTAATATCATGCCAAGAATAGCGCCGTGATCACTTTCACTTTTTAAAAGCGAACCTATCTTTTTATGTGTAGTTCAAAATGTTGTAAATATGAAAGTTTAAGTATGAGATATATAAATACATATAAACTGCAGGCTAGATATGTAAAATTCCCAGAGAGAGAGAGAGAGAGTGATGAATGCCGTCGGCTTTAAGCTTGCGGTTCCAGAAATTTGTTTGCATGAAAGCCGGGATGGCATGTGAGTTTCATATTCAAAGCTAAAGTCGTCAATGCATTACATGTAGTAGTACTTCTTTATTAAGTTTTGATTTAAAATAGTTTTAATTTTTTATTAAAAAAATAGGATTAAATTTTGAAAATGGACATTTACATACATACCATATTATTTTTTATTTTTTTTTTTTTGCATTTCTAGCATCTAAACTTTGATTTTTGTAATCAAAGTTTGTGTAACACATTAAAAATATCATTATTTGAACTTTTAAATTGTGAAATACATCTTTTCATGTGTAGGCAATATGTAATTCTATTAGAATTGAGGGGTGTTTCTGTTAATTTTCCTAAAAAAGTATAAATTTGGTATTTATGTATATTTTTACGCCAAATATCATATATTTAAATAATAACACAATTTAGAAAAGGGGGTCGGCTGGTCTAATGGGTGCATTCATTTTTTTATATGATTATATTTTAATTTTGTTATCTTAACCAGACTCATAAATAAAGTTTTTTTTTTATTAAAAATAGTAAAATATAATTAAAATATCATGTCTTCAATTTTTTAAAATTAAAGTAGGTTTAGAATACTTAAGAATGAAGTGATTTGTTGACTTGTAATATTATATATTAAATAAATAAATAAATAAATAATATTTTATTATTATTTTAATTATATTTAAATAATTTAATTATTTATTAAATTGTTTAATTCAACTCTCAGATTTATTTCGATTGATCCGTTATACTTTAAATCTTCTCTTGGTTCATTTAAATGATATTGAAATAATCTAACCTTTAAGAAGTAATATATATACACATAATAATTGAGTGGTATGCATGTAAATTTCTTTCCTTTCAGCTTCTTTATTTTTCGACATAAATCCTGATTTATTAAATCCGAATTTTAGTTGAATTTAACAGATTTAGTCTCAGGCAATTAAATCCACAAATAAGATGTCCAAAACATCAAACAAACTTAAGTTGAATTAAGGTGTTTAACTTCCTAAGAAGATTATATCCTGCAATAAGATGTCTATATCACTTGAAACCGATTCAAGTGGATTTAACCTAAACTACACTAAACACAGTTCTGATTTTCTAGCATATGGATTTGATAAATCTGAATTCACTCCTATTTATATACCCCCCTAAGAAAAAATAATTGGCTACCTCTTCTATTTTTAGTCTTATCACCTCTTTTTACCTTTATATTTATACCACCCGAATATTTTATATCACATAAAAAATGCTACTATTTTAGCTTTCAAAAAGTTTTATTTATATGATATGTGACATGTCATGCAAAATTCTCATGTCATTTAAATAATATCTCTATATTAACTTTTAATTTGGTAAATAGACATTATATATAAAAATTTAGTTGTGTTATATGTAGATACATTACATTGAGTGGTTTTTAAGTATATCTTCCTAACTTCTAAGGAACATAATTATAGTAATTAATCACCTATTTTTAGTCAACTAAATACAACAATCTCCTTCTCCTCTTTTCTTAGGCTTTGTTTGAGGGGGCTTCATTGTTTCTTCAAAAATCGCTTCCGCGGATGGAGCCAACCCTAAGTGATCGACAACGTCCGAATTTCACCGTTTTGCGGAAGTAACGTCGAGTTTAACAAAATGAGAAATTTTTTAGTTGTCGGCGTTGCACTAAACGGAACGGAGCTTCACCGATAGGTCAAAGGTCAAACAAGCCTTAATCTTTTCCTCTATGCATGGATCTGTTTATCATCCCCACCTCTCCCTCCCTCAAAAAGCTTCTAAACAACTGTCTTATGTCCCTCTTTATCCTCCTTCCTCTCCTCACCATCATCTATTTCTCCACCACCATTAATCAAACCTTATCTCTATTCTCCTTCCCTCAGCTCTTCATTAATGGCCGCTCGGAAAGCTGTGATTTTTCTAACGGAAAATGGGTTTTTGATGAATCTTATGCTCAATATTATACGGAGGAATGCCCCTTCCTCGACCCTGGATTTCTCTGCCGCTCTAATGGAAGGAAAGATATGAGCTATCTTCAATGGCGATGGAGCCCTCGCAGCTGCGACATGCAAAGGTTCTATTTTTATATGGCATTATATAATTTGTTTGATTTACCTATTTACCCGCAAAAGTTTTATGTATTTATGTATCCAACACCTAAACTTTTGTATTTACAAATTACATACAGACCACCCAAATCTTGTTTTTTACAAATCAACCATCTTTCATGTTCTCACTCAAATATCAAAATTCACGGCAAAACCCCAAATTCTTAATAGTTTCATGGTGGCATGCATAATGTGGTTAAGAAAAAACCAGCCGGGTGGATAATTGGTAAATAACAATGTTTTGGGTGGTCTGTATGTAATTATCCTTTTTACAATATTGGATGTTATAAACATGTTCATGAAAATGTATGCTTAAATTTTAAAAAGCTATTAGTAATGATATTTTTATGTGATATTAACGTTTTATGCAATTAAATATGAAAGTTTAGGTGTGAGATATGTAAATACATGAGAATTTTGTTGTATGTATCTAAATTTCCCTTCTAAAATCATTAATTTTATTTTCCTTAATTACTATATATTCTATAGTTATAAACCTTGTATATATCTTTCTATCCAATCACCAATCGTATTCAGTTATTCTTAATATATATATATATATATCAGCA